TAAAATAACTGAAGCTTATTATTTGTGGTGTTTAGTCTTCATATTATTAGTGTTTTTTTGTTTGCTTGCTATAATTTTTTGAGAGGGACATATTAATATCTATCATTACAACTAATGGTATATATATTTCCCCTCACATTTGTGACACTTGTCGTTTGGTATGTTTTGAAGTTTTATTTGTGGATGCAATTTATTTTGGATATTTTTTCTTACTGTTCATATAAAAAACATTTTTGTCCCTTATGGTATGTTTGCCATAAATTTTACTCATCTGAAATTAAGTTTGCTATTTCAGCTTTCTTTTGATTCATATTTTTGTAATCTTTTTCTATCCTTGTATTTTTAAATATTTTTCTTTTTAGTGTATCTCTTCTAAACCACATGCTAAATCTTATTTTTTAATCTATGGGTCTTTTAATCTGTAAGATTAAATTATTTAAAATTATTTTAATTATTATTATATTATTTTGCCATCTTTTCTTTTCTTATTTTCTGTTTTCCCATGGAGCAAGTTGTCTTCTGTTTTTATTTTGTTTTTCATAGATTCCATTTTGGTTCTTATGATGGTTGTGCTTAACTTAAAACCCACAATGACTTTTATTTACCCCTACTGACTTTTTAAATGTATTAATATCTTAACTTAAAACCCACAATGACTTTCATTTGCCCCTACTGACTTTTTAAATGTATTAATATCTAGGTCATTTTTTTAGTAAGACGTGGACTTCAACACACTCTTATGTCCGTCTCTTTCTCCCCTCATGTTTGTATTGTCAAGAATTGTATGTAGTTCAGATATGTAGGCATTGACATACTTTCTATGTCTCCTTTTTTCTTTGTTTGCTCTCCTATATTTTTTGTTGTTAGTTTTGTTTTATGATAACAATAAACTTTACCAAGGTACTTGATCACCTTTCTTGTCATATTTCATGCAGCCTTTCCTGAATTTTTTTCTCTTCTTAATTGACTTATTAGAAAAATAGGTAAGAGTATATGTTTAAAATATATTTAGGTTACTTATTAAAATAATAGAAACTATGTGTGAAATTGAAACCTATATAGATGAAAAGGTGGTGATGAGAAGAAATTTAAGCATAAAACTGTCAGCCAATCTAAAAGATGGGAAAGGAAGAATAAAAAACGATATGTTAGAAATAAGTCTATATTAGTAATCACAATAAATAAACATGGATAATAAAATAACTGAGTCATACTGATTGAGTGAAAAACAGAAATCTTGCTCTGTGCTCTTTACAAGAGACCTATTTAATTTCACAATAAAAGGTCAATCATGTTAAACAGTGGTTAAGATCCATCAAGCAGATGTATTAGGCATGAACTAATATATAGCTAAGCATCCATTTCAAATTGTATAAGCAAAATCTGACAATATTAAAAGAAGGAATCAAAACTCCAGATGTATAGAGAATGATTTTAACTGATCTTTCTTGAAAAGGACCTTAAAGAAAACTAATAATCAGAGCTATGTTCATAGATGAGAAGACAAAAGAGATATCAAGTTTATATAATATTGTTGGAGGGTTACTTATATACCAAAAAAGGAGCGGAAAATTACCAAACTCCTGGGAGAAATACTACATCCTGGTTCGTCAAGGAAATGGAACAAGAATGAACCTGGACATTTGTTGTGCCAGAAAGTAAGGAAAGCTCTCAAACACCAAAAATGGTCATATTACAAACCTAGGAGCCAACCTGAAGGGATTTTTACTAGTCTGAGATGAGAGAATCTTGCACATCTAAAAGAAAAATGATTGCAATTTAATTGCAACCCATCCACTATGTAAGAATCAGTGAGTATGTAAACATTGAAAAGCAAAATAATACAAATCTCATTGGTCATAGTTGGTAATTGCTTTGCCCCGTCTCATTACTCTGAAAATTGATTTTTAAAAGAGAGTAAGTTTGGGAGATAATCAAGCATTTTATCTTATCTTTTTCATTAGGATTACATTTCAGGATAACCAGAAAATTTGTAATGGCAAGTTTTTCATTATAGAAGAATTATAGCATATGTATGCACAAGGAATGGTAGAATTACAGAATTAGACAACCAATTTGTAAAACCTAATGAAATCACAAATCCAGGAAATGATCATCATTTATTGCTAAAACTTTTAATGAAAGGTTTAAGAGAATCTTGGAATGGAAGGACTGGGCTGATAGCACCTGAAGCCATTGTTCAGTTTAGCTAACTAAAATGTACTATAGGAAGTATATACGCAGGTATTCTTGTCAGAAAAAATGAACCGTAGTCTAATCAAGTCTCTGGAACAAAAGAACTAGCTAACAGGAAGTAAATAAAGAACTTAAACGCCACAAGAAAACAATTAGCCAGATCATTTTTAATCCTTCAGAATTCATTAGTTTGAAGTATATCTCTTATAAGCAGTATGCCACTTTATTTTAAAACTCAATTTTAGTATCCTTTTCTCTATCAATAGGCTTACTTGTCATCTTAGTTTATTGTTTATATAATTCTTTTTTCTGTTTAGATTTATTGTACTTGCTAATATTGAATATAGGTGTCTTGCTTTTATTGTTCCGTTAGGGGAAAATATTTGTAACATTTTAAAAACTATTTTCAAGGGACATTTTATAGTATTTTTTAGTAAACTGAAATACAGATACCTGACAATTTCACTTCTAGAGGTTTGTCATACAGAAATATATCTATTTATCATATAGAAATATTTGTATTTATCATATAGACATTGTCATATAGAAATATTATTACAATAGAAATAATTATATATTTAAGAGAATTCTTTTGCTATATGTTATAGCCAAGAAACTGGAAGCGATCTTAATGTCCATTAATATGGGAACAGTTAAGTCTTGGACATCAATAAAATGAAATGCTACATAAGTTTTGCAAATAATATTAGTTATCTATTATTGCAAAACAAATTATTTAATACTTAAAACAGCAAACATTATCTTACCCAGTTTCTGAGGGTGAGGAATCTGAAAGAAGCAAAGCTGTCTCAAGGTCTCTCATGAAGTTGCAGTGAAGCTGTCAGCAGGGACTGCAGTCATCTGAAGGCTGCACTGTGGTTGGAGGATCCGCTTCTAAGATAGTTTACTCACATGGCTGTTGGCAAGATGTCTCATTTCTCAGTGAAAGCAGAAGGTCCCAATTCCTCACCACAGGTCTGCTTAAGTTGTCTCATGACATGGCATATAGCTTTTCCCAGAGCTAGTGATCCTAGAGAGAGCAAGAAAGAAGCTGCAGTGACTTTTATGACCCAGCCTCCAAAGTTGCATAACACTACTTCCTTATCCACTTTATTTCCTATTCATCAGAAGTTACTCACTAAGTTCAGCCCATATTCAAGGGGTGGGGAATTAGGCTTCACTTCTTGAAAGGAAAGGATCAAATAATTTATGGGCATATTTAAAAATTACCATAAATAAGATAGGTCTACCTGTACTGAAGTGGGAAGTTGTACGCTATGTATTAAATGAAAAAAAGAAAATTGCAGAATTACCATGTCTTTATTAAGGAAAAAAATCAGTGAAGTATGAATGTGTGTTGTGTATACATGGAAGAAGGTTAGAAAAAACACAGTGAAAACTGGTTATAGTGGTTATTTCTTAAATTATTTGGGGGAAGGTAGGCTTTTAATTTTTACTTATATTATTTCAATGTTTTAAATATTTATGAACTTATTTTCAGTAAAAGAAATTAGACTCCTGATTGCTAATATGTTTTTAAAATAAATCCTTAAATTTTTTAAAAAAATAACAAATCCAATAACTACAGATTGAATTTTATTTTTATTGTACTTTTTATAAAACTAGAGATCAGTGAGTCCATTTATTTTCTAGACAGATACAACTTTCACAGTTTCACTCCTGTAGTTTGAGTTTCTGAGCATCCCAAATTTCTTTTCTTTTTTTAATTTATATATTTAAAGTGGATTCATTATATTTAAAATTTATTAAATTTATTTTATAAACATTAAAAATAGGCCACTAGATATTTAAATATATGGCTCTGAATGTTCTCATTCTTGAGTTCTTATTTGTGGTTAATGTTTTGTTGTTTAGACATATATTTTCATGTAGTTTATTTGGAAAATAGTAGTTTGGCTGCATATTTTTTACCCTTGAATATTTCAGTACATCTTTCCTTTACCCTACATTAACACATTATGACAGTATATGGAAATCTCAACTGAAACACTTTATCAAACGTTTTTAATTTATCTCACTTTTATTTAATAGGTAGTGCTGAGTTTAAAAACCTCTATGATGTAACTACATAATCTTGTACAAGTAACTTAGTCTTGCTAAACGTTAGTTTGCGTGTTCATTTAGTGTGAATAACAATACCTTATTGGATTGTTCTGAGAGTAAATGAGATAACATAGCCCTATTCATAAATGTTCAATAAGATATAGCTGCAGCTAAGATGGTGCTGCTGCTGATAATGATAGCATTTGGCTTTCCTTCCATTTTATTGTAAACTCCTTAAAAGTATCTGTTTCCTTTATTCTTAGTAGGTACTCAATATTTTAAATTGAAATTTAGAATTGAGAATGTGTGATCAAATAGATACAATGAAAAATTTAAAAAGAAATAAAATGGATTTGCCACATAACCAATTTATGATCTGTTTTTTCCACTAAAAGAATTACTTTAGGCAGTTTTAATACATATATTTATCTCTTCTCCATTTTAAAATGCATAATAGTAGTAGAAAGCTACCTACAACATGGGATTTCTGTGAAGAGTAACTGAAATATAGGTAAAAAACTTAGTAGTTAGTAGACAAGTGCTGTATAGGTGTTTCTTTTGATAGTGATGATGTTTCATGATTGGATATATTATTTAGCTGTTTGACTACTATTGTTATACCTCTCCTTACCTTTCTTGGTTTTCTTCTTTGTTGAAGTTCTTTTTGGCTTGCCACTTATGTTAATCTGCTAAATGTCTTTATCTTTGTCCATCTTCTCACTTAGATTTCTTTTTCCTAGAAAGCCTGATCTTTGACCAGATGGCAGTAACATTTGAAGATGTCACTATTGTTTTTACTTGGGAGGAGTGGAAATTCCTGGATTCTTCTCAAAAAAGGCTCTACAGGGAGGTCATGTGGGAGAACTACACAAATGTCATGTCAGTAGGTAAAATTATCCCACCTCATAGGGAATAGTCAGAGTTTCTTCTAGGAACAGTTTTGTTGAGTATTTTGTTTTTTTATCTGGGTGTTATATTGAGGTGTTAGAAGAGATATTCTCAAAAATGTTTCTTAAATCAGGTCACAAATAAAAGATAAAGCAAGACAGATTCCAGGACACCTAGGTTGTATCATTAATAGATACTTGTGATTATTAGTTTTAGTTATTTTCTGCATTGCCCTTAAAACACATATCTCCATACGTAGTCAATTTTGTGTGGTCCTAAATTTTTTCTCTCTTCATGCTATTTGTATAAGTTAGCTTTTGTTGTATAACATACTGTGCCAGACTTAGTGGCTTAAAAACAAACTTCATTATTTTTTATGATTCTCATTGACTGGATAGATTTTTTATCTTGGAGAGATTTGGTTGTGGCTGACTGGTCTAAGATTAAGCTGCTTGGCCTGACTCACATGTGGGGCAGTTGGCTCAGTATCAGTGGAGGTAGTGGGAATTTGTTGGTCACATATCTCTCTTCAAACAAGCCAACCCAAGCACACTTACATGGTGGGGGTCACGGGATTTTTAAAAGCATCGAGAAAGGGGAGGGGCTTTTCAAGTCTCTGCTTGTGTGACTTTTGTTATTTTCCCAGTTACCAATGCAAGTTGTGTAGCCAAGCATAGAGAGAGTGTGGAAGGAGAATACCAAAGGTGTAGGTAAAGTAGTGAGTTAATGTAGTCATTTTTTCTCAATCTACCGTGCTATTCTAGAACAGAAAAACAGGAACAATATATTTTGTTTCTTATAATAATATCCAAAATAAAGTAATCTAATTATATCTCAGTCTTTAAGACTATTTCCATTAAGCAGTTGGCATTATTCTCATTTCTAACAGTGCCTGGTAAATAGAAGTTAAATCTTTCTAACAGTGCCTGTTCAAAACATGCTTGTGGAATGAATAAATAAGTGAATGAATGAATACATACATGAATGAACAAAACAAATGAATTTCAGACCCAAATGGAGCAGCCAGAGTCATAACCCTCCTTTCCTACCCCCACCCACACATATATTCCTATCATTTAAAGATCATTGATTTAGATAGTTGGAAATTTTTCAACACAACTTTTATCTCACTATGGGATTATCTTATTTTTCTAGAAAACTGGAATAAGAGCTACAAATCCCAAGAAGAAAAATTCAGATACTTAGAATATGAAAATTTTTCCTGCTGGCAAGGCTGGTGGAATGCTGGTGCTCAGATGTGTGCGAATCAGAACTATGGGGAAACTGTTCAAGGGAAAGATTCCAAAGACTTAACACAGCAAGATCGCTCCCAGTGTCAGAAATGGTTAATACTTTCCACACAAGTACCAGGGTGTGGGAACTATGAACTGACTTTTGAAAGCAAAAATCGCAGGAACTTAAAATATAAAAATTTTATACCTTGGCAGTCCTTAGAAACAAAAACCACCCAAGACTATGGTAGAGAAATCTACATGAGTGGTTCACATGGTTTTCAAGGGGGCAGATACCATCTTGGCATATCCAGGAAAAACCTCTCCATGGAAAAAGAACAGAAGCTCATAGTTCAGCGTTCTTATATCCCAGTGGAGGAAGCCCTTCCACAGTATGTTGGGGTGATATGTCAGAAAGACCTACTGAAAGATTCAATGGAAGAAAACTACTGTGGATGTAATAAGTGTAAAGAAATTTATTGTTGGAACTCACGGTGTATTTTCCACAAGAGAAATCAACCTGGAGAAAACCTCTGTCAATGTTCTATCCATAAAGCATGCTTCTCTCAGAGATCAGCCTTGTGTAGACATCCAAGAATCCACATAGGTAAGAAGCTGTATGGATGTGATAAAGTTGACAGTAACTTTCATCAGAGCTCAGGAGTTCACTTTCATCAGAGAGTTCACATAGGGGAGGTACCTTACAGCTGTAATGCATGTGGTAAGAGCTTCAGCCGAATCTCTAGTCTTCACAATCATCAAAGAGTTCACACAGAAGAGAAATTCTATAAAATTGAGTGTGATAAAGACCTCAGTAGGAATTCATTACTTCACATTCACCAGAGACTTCACATAGGAGAGAAGCCTTTTAAGTGCAATCAGTGTGGTAAGAGTTTTAATCGGAGTTCAGTACTTCATGTTCATCAGAGAGTCCACACAGGAGAAAAACCATATAAGTGTAATGAGTGTGGTAAGGGCTTCAGCCAGAGCTCAAATCTTCGAATTCATCAGTTAGTACACACAGGAGAGAAGTCTTATAAATGTGAAGACTGTGGTAAGGGCTTTACCCAACGCTCAAATCTTCAAATTCATCAGAGAGTGCATACAGGAGAGAAACCTTATAAATGTGATGACTGTGGGAAGGACTTTAGTCACAGCTCAGATCTTCGCATTCATCAGAGAGTCCATACAGGGGAGAAACCCTATACTTGTCCTGAATGTGGGAAGAGCTTCAGTAAGAGTTCAAAGCTTCACACTCATCAAAGAGTACATACTGGAGAGAAACCCTACAAATGTGAAGAGTGTGGCAAGGGATTCAGTCAGCGTTCACATCTTCTCATTCATCAGAGAGTCCATACAGGAGAAAAGCCCTATAAATGTGATGATTGTGGAAAGGGTTTTAGTCACAGTTCTAATCTTCACATTCATCAGAGGGTCCATACAGGAGAGAAACCTTATCAATGTGCTAAGTGTGGTAAAGGTTTCAGTCATAGCTCAGCTCTTCGAATTCATCAAAGAGTCCACGCAGGAGAGAAACCTTATAAATGCCATGAATATTATAAGGGATTTGATCATAATTCACATCTTCACAATAATCATAGAAGAGGAAACTTATAAATATTGTTCATTTAGTTAACAGCTTCAATCAAAGTTTACCTAACCTTTAAACCCTAAAATGCTGCTGATAAGGAAATCTTATAAATAACACAAGTAATCCCAAGCAACATTTACAGTTTCCCCATCTCCCACTAAGAATTATTTGCTTCAAAAGGAGATCTTTAGAAAAATCCCTATATATTTAAAATTATTGTGTATTTTTCTTTACCTACTATAAATATAATACAGTCATAAAATATATTAAACATTTAAGGAGAAAACTCTTCATTCTATTTCATTCTAGTCTTTTTTTCTGTGCATTTTAGTGTGCGTGAAATTATATTGTGTGTTCAACTTTGTATTTTCACTGACTTCAAAACACTTAAATTTTGGTTTGAATTGAAACTGGCTGGCCATCTGTTAAACAACATCTCTTATCTCCCCTAAAAAGTCCCTAGGAAGTAACAGAAAAGATGGAAACACGCAGAACTTAAAACTCAGTTTTGGCCAGTAGAATTCAGTTGTTTATGGACACAAGCCACCTAATAAAAGATAGGAAAGCATTGTATGACCTTGTGTCTGAGACAGTGTTCTCTGAGTTGTTATCTCTGTCAACCAGAAAACCCAGGGACTGTCCTTCTGTTGCAGGGGTGTTTCACTTTGAGGTAACCACAGTGCACTCTTATCCCTTCCGTTTCCTGGTTTTCCACGCTTAATAATAGGTTCAGATACCAAATAACAAGAAGTACAGAATTTTCTCTAAGTAAGGTGTGAAGGGTATGGACAAAAGTGCTAGAAATGGAAGATACTCTATTGGTTCGGAATTGGAGATCCAAGCAGTAGAATTTTATTTAATCTCAGTAGAACGGAGTGGTAATAGAGAAATATCTGCAAGGACAGCATTGAACTCAGAACTCTGTGCAACGATGAACCCTGAAGCTAATTATGTAAGAAGAGGGTTTGGCCATTATGTCAGAATAGTTAAAGTTAATAGGAATACACAGTCCTAATTATTGATATACAAATAAGTAATACCAAGAGAAAAAAAAAGTGGGCATGTTTAGGAAAATTGGAATTGCAATACTGAAGAAAAGAATATCATCCTAAAGACTTGGAAATGTATTGCCCTGAAAATTAGCTGCTGCAGGCTTCAGAGGAAATTTCCAAAAATGTTGGTGTCCCTCAGTGGCATAACAGAGAACCTGAACTCAATAAAACTAGAGTAGAAAAACACAAGTAGAGAAGAGTCTCTAAAGTAAAAAGAGAAATAGGTACAACAAAGAAGGACTTCACGGAGCTCTGAAATGCTGTATCAAAATAAATGCAATAAAAAGTAAAATTAGGCGGCGGGTGCAAGCTGTAATCAGATTTGGAGGCGAGACGGGCGGATCAGAGGTCAGGAGATCGAGACATCTGCTAACACAGTGAACGTTCTACTAAAATAAAAAACTTAGCGGGGAGTGGAGGGCCTGTATCCAGCTACCGGAGGCTGAGGCAGAGAATGGCGAACCCGGGGGCGGAGCTGCGGGAGCTGAGATCCGCACTGCATCCACCTGCACAGCGAGACTCCGTCTAAAAAAAAAAAAAAAAAAAAAAAAAAAAAAAAAAAAAAAAAAAAAAAAACTGATCTGATCTTAAATGTATCTGAAAAGGATAATGAGATGAAAACTAAGAAAAGACAGATAGGAATATTAGAGGATGGAGGTCCAGTGTGAGAATTATAGGTTTCTCTAAGGAAGGTGAAAGAACATTTGGCATGGAATCAATGATCAAAGACATTAAGAAACTTTTTCTGAGTTAAAAGTATACGGTCACTAAATTTTAGGCAAAACCAGTATTAAAGCAACCTTAGAAACAGCTTAGAAAGAAGCAATTAAAAGCATGCAGAAAGAAAAATTCTGGTTATCTGTAAAACCAAAAAGGGAGGGTGGATACAGACCTCTGCAACCAGAAGGCAATGGAACAGCACCTTCAGAATTTTGAGATTTGGAAAGTTTATTATCACCAAACAGTTTTATAACAAAAGTGTCTTTCATATGTTCAGGAAACAAATATTTTTGATAAGCAAGAAAACAGTGTAGCATACATGTGCCTTAAAGAGTTTGTGAATGTGGAAATCATGGTATAAAAGGACTAGTGATGAGCACTGAAATAAATTAAACATGCAGTTGTCTGAATAGTTTCCACAACTTCAAAAAATTAAATGTGCAAGAAAATATATAAATGCTGAGTGTAAAATGTACAAATGCTGAGTCTGGGTAGGAGAGTAAAGTCAGGACACCCAGTTCATATAAGCAAAGAATAATTGTTTTAGCATAAGGATGTCCCAAATATTGCATGGGACTTACACTAAAATGTCATACATTTGAAATTCAAATTAAACTGGTCATTTCTGTTTTTATTTGCTACATCCAGCAACCGGAGAGAGAGCATAAGTGCCACATTTGTGATCTTAAATAGCAGGGACTCATAATAACATTTTCTTTTTGACTGACAATTTAAGAAAGGTATTTTTTTTCAAACCTAAAATTACAACTTAAAAAAGTTCATATACCTTTAAAAATGGGAGAAGATAAAAGCACAAATTATTCAGTCTCTATAGCAATGACTACCAAAACAATCCCCAAGAAGATGGCCTAAAATATTAAAATAAATGGATCAAGATGATTAAAGCTGAATGTATCAAAATATATTCAATGCTTCATTTTAAAATGTTGAAAACACTGGGTTAAAAATTTCTAATTATGTGCTATAACAGATGAAAAGGCAATATTGCTTAAATGTGAGAGCAGGTGAAGGTTTATTAGACAAACATAAAGGAGTACCTACAATATGTTTTTAAAGGTGTTAAAAATGCACTAAGTTAAACTCATTAAGTTGGGTAAAAATATAAAATCATTAGTATTCTAAACTCTTGCATAATTCAGAAAATGTAATGGTAAAAAAATCTGGTTTTTAATAATTTAAAGAGGAACAAATAAAAATGCAGCATGAAAATAATAATAAAGGGGAAATATAAAAGAGGACTTGACTAGAGAAGTCTTAATTTTCCTTAAGGGAATGTTCCTAATTTATATATTTATTTTAGATCTCATGAAAATTCCAATGAATTTGAGATAAAGGTGTTCTAGTCTTTTAAGGAAAATAGACATTGGAGAAGAGCAAAGATAATTATAAGAAAGATTAATGATATTGCCCTAACATATAATAAATTGTATATTGGTATATGAAGTTGTAATAATGGAGAATTTAATTGTATATTTGAAAAAAAAAAGTTAGGATTCTAAGTCACTAAATAGTTTAGAAATATACCAGTGTATGGATTATATATGTGTATTTTAACATATAGTGCATATGCTTATAGAGTTCACACATGATAAAGATCTGTGAATAGGAGGATTATTCAGTAAATAGTGCTAAGATCATGATTTAACTCTTTAACAAGACTTTCATTTTATGATCTATATCAGAATAAAACATCGATTGAATACAAGTTTTTAAGCTGTATTCCATGGACCTCCATGTGGTTTCATGAAGACTAGTATCTTCAGAAGCAAAAGAACTGCAAGTTTAGCCACATTTTATCTCTTCATATGCAAAAGTAACTTAAGATTTTATTTTTATAAAGGAGGTTCCACTATAAAATATTTAAAATTCTCTAGAGTGGATTTTTAAACACTCAGAAAAAATACATAATTTGACCACATAAAAATTTTTAAACTGTGGGTGAAAAACATGTAAGTCAGAAAAAAATAGGAGAAATATTTGCCATGATAATGACAGTATGAACTCTTTTTAATTAAATAGACACCTAGTTTAAAATGTTGACAACATAAACAGACTAAAGCAATGAAGTATCACTTTTATTAATAAAAATGACAATAGCAATTTTCAGCAAGAGTATGGAGTAATGTATACTTATGTTGAGGGTAAATTGGTAACGACTTTTTGGAAAAACAATTTGGCCAATCCTGAGCCTTAAAATTGCTGTTACTCTTTGCTACAGTAATTCTATAGGAATATGTTCTATGGAAGTAGAGTTTCATACTGTTAGGGGGCTTGTAAAGAACAGAGATCCACTCAAGTGATCTCATGTAAAGAACAGGGTTATATAACATCACATGGTAGAATCTGATATGCACATACACAGATCCCAGGATGTTATCTCACTAAAAGAAGTGAGGGAGCAAGTGAGCCATGGAGCTCTCCATGGAAAAAGAATTCCGTATAGAGGGTAGAGCAAGTGCAAAGGGTCTGAGGCTAGGAATGGACCTGGAATGTACTGCAGCACTGTAAGGGAGAAGGAAAATAGGGAATGAAGTTAAAGGTAATAGGGGCCCTTGTAAGGAATTGTAAAGGTGTTGTCTTTTATTCTAAGTGAAGTAAAAAGTCACTGGAGGGTTTTAAGTGATATAATCTAACAAATTTAAACAGGCTTATTCTGAATGCTGTGTTAAGAATTGACAAAGTAGAGGCTAGAGCCAAAGCAGGGATTCCAATTAGGAGGTATTGCAGTTACCCCTAAAAGAGATAAAGTGTTAAAATAGTGTTAACAGTGGAGGTGACAGAAATAATCAAATTTTGGATATATTTTGACCATGATGAATATATCAGAAATTAATTTTAAAACTGGACTTTAAGTAGTATTTTAATAGGTAAAAAGGAGGCCAAAATCCTTTACTACTTTACAGACAGGAAGAATTCCTTGTAAAATCTTACAGTTGAACACAGTGTTTTAGGGACAGTGAAATCAGTCTGTCTAGATTAATGTTTTAAGATTAAAACATTAACTTCAAATATCAATGTTGAGGTTTAAGCTACTCTTAAGGGACTAGAGGGTTTTATTTTTCATCTGGATAATATAAAGTTCAAGTTGTGCCATGGGAGTAGTCATGCCCAACTTTGGGGAGTCAGGGTAGGCTTTCCAGAGAGAGGTTCTCATCTTAGTCCAGAATAGATTGCAATAACCTGAGGGGGTGGACAAGGAGTTAAAAGTGTTTCAAGCAAAGTGAGAAAAATGCAGTTTTAGGAATAAATATAGCCTAGTGGTTAAGAGTAAGGCTTCCTGAGCTGAGATCAGTTTTCGGGAAGACAAGGTATATTTCTACCTAATGTCAACAAACATAATCATTGCCTCAGTGTGAACTGGGAGGAATACAGACTCTCATCGGCAATTCTGGTGAGAAAAGTATCAGAGTCAGGAAGATCCTGTCAGAAATTCCTATCAAATTGAATGATTAAATCCTAATATATATTGAATATTAATATGGGGTATGCAGAGGCTGAAAAAGTATGATCCAGTCAAAAAGGCAATGCTATGGTGTGTTTCTGTTTCTGTCTAATCAGGCCCTAAAATTTGGAATACAGACCACAATCACTGCACCCATAAGATATCCTTCACTGAACTTTAAAATTAATCGTCAGATGAATTCAACTCTAACATTCTTTAAAATAGTTTCCTTGTGAACAGTGACAGCACAGTGGCTGAAGGATTCAAAAGGCTCACTGGGGTTTTACCCAGAATCTGTCCTTTACTGATGGGTATGGGATTGGGATAATCTTTTGACCTCTCTGAGCTTACACAGCCTCAGCTATAAAATACAATGTTGAAATAAAATGAGTCCTTAGGCTACTGCCCAAACAATTTATCTTTTCTCTAGAATAGTGCCTATTCACATAATAAATGTTAATAAAGTGTTAATTTTCACAGCACACTGATTCTCAGAAGTCTTAAAAGTTTAATGTCATTAAAATTTCACAACTGCTTTGAGAAAGGTCCCACAAGGCACATTCTATAGTCAAGAGAAATTGTGGCATAGAAAAGTTCATGATTCACCAGAGGGTGAGGTTCCTACGAGTTTCTTATCACATTTTTGTCAATGGATCAATACATAATTTGGCTTTAATATGATATTAGTATTTATTGATAAACAATATTAATATATCACAATATATAATATATAAAATATATATAACATTTATTATATTGATTTGTTAATATTGAACTCACAAGACAACAGCACTATAATGCCTGAAGGTAGCTTCTCTTTCACATGTATTTTTTCCTAAGATACATCACAGCCCTCTTGTACTTAGGAACACTAGACAGCACCTTAGCACTATACTTGGGACCATTTTAAACTGCAAAAATCAACAGAAAGCACAAAAATCCTAAAACAGCAGTAAATATATTGTGAAAAGTATGCTTTTTATGATAGGAGAGCTAAAACAAGAAGGTACGGCATTGCTTTGTTCAACCTCAGCTGGTCACATGCACCTTGGGCAACTTGAAATTTGCTCTGCTCTGCACCTGTGTACAAATGACTGGGGAAAGCGCTACAA